GTAGCCTACTGATTTATTATGGATGGCGATATGCAATTTTTTAAAAAAATCAGATGCTTGATTGTAATGTTTACTTCAGAGTAACCTTAAGTTCAGTTTTCCAATTATTCAAGCTCAGCAGGATTTAAAGTTAAAATCAAATAAAAGTAAGCAAAATAGCATCCTTATTTTTGGAGAGAAATGTGCATTTATGTATAGCACAGCACATCAGTCTGTAGTTCATCACCTCATAGTGACACTGAGCATACTGGTATATAAATGTCAGAATGAACTTTGTGGAATGAGTGCACATGCAGTAACAAGTAAATTTTTAATGCTTCTCTATGCTGTTTTAAAAAAATTGTAATGTAGGCCTATTATATAAAAGACTTCTGTAGTTGTTTTAAGATTTGAACTTTAATGGTCTTTATCTTACCAGACACTGGTGATTTTTTGCCATGTGTCAGTGATAACTCCGAGCAAGAGAGAGAACATGTCACATGTCATACACATGAATTTGTGTAGGTCCAGAAATCGACGTGGAGGGGGAGCAGCGTACCTTCTCCTTACAGATCTCTTGCAAAGAAGCTTTGGATCTGAAGCGAGGTGAGAGCTATCTGATCATGGGCCAGGCTGATGATGTCCAACTGGAGGGCAGAATGTAAGTACATTTGACCTGTGATCCAAAGTGTGTGTGCCCTGATCTGTGAATGTGCATCTGTATTAATAACAGAGCTTGAAATATGAAATACTTTAGAATGGTCAAATGTATACAAACAGTCTCTTTTAAGTAAAATTCCTCTGATGTCTCCCAGCGGTCAGTATGCACTGGGCGAGAGGACATGGCTGGAGTTCTGGCCCAATTTGGAGGAGAGCAAGACTAGCGAAGAACTCAAAGAAAAATACAACGGCATGTTGAGTCTCCAGCAGGATCTGCGCTTCGGCTGCAGCTAATAAGTCAAATGCCAGACTATTGCTTTGAGATGCTCAGTGACTAAATGAAACAGAAAATCAGTATAGCTTCATTTTCAACTTTAAATGTATGTAATACATGAGTTATGAGTTAATTTTGACTGTTGCTTTTTTTTTTCGCAATTATCCTGTTATTCAGCTATGATTAATGCATACCTAAGCATGACTTGCTTACACCACCATTCTTAAGGTGTTTGGGGCACATGCATGTCTAAGCAAATTTCCATAATAAATATGGTTAAGCAAGATCCTCTGTTCTGATCATCTCCTTATTCACTATTCCAAAACAACTAATTTTTGAAAGTAGCCTACTGATTTATTATGGATGGCGATATGCAATTTTTTTAAAAAATCAGATGCTTGATTGTAATGTTTACTTCAGAGTAACCTTAAGTTCAGTTTTCCAATTATTCAAGCTCAGCAGGATTTAAAGTTAAAATCAAATAAAAGTAAGCAAAATAGCATCCTTATTTTTGGAGAGAAATGTGCATTTATGTATAGCACAGCACATCAGTCTGTAGTTCATCACCTCATAGTGACACTGAGCATACTGGTATATAAATATCAGAATGAACTTTGTGGAATGAGTGCACATGCAGTAACAAGTAAATTTTTAATGCTTCTCTATGCTGTTTTAAAAAAAGTGTGATGTAGGCCTATTATATAAAAGACTTCTGTAGTTGTTTTAAGATTTGAAAGCAAATTCACAAAAATCCACAATGAAGACAAGAATTATTTTACTGATATTCACCAGTATATAAAGAAAGTGGCATAATGAGCTTTGCTGTTTGTCACTAAGAAAAAAACAACAACTCTATATTTTTACAGAAACATATGTTGTATTAAAATAGATGCATTTAATATAACTATAAGACCAGTAAGAAAAATAGTTTTTTTTTTACAGTCGAGTTTGGCCCCAGGTTAAAATGAAGTTTTTGCGAAATAAATGAGGGGGGATTCCTTGAACCCAACATTTTTGTTGAGAAGCTGTACAGTTCATCAAAGTTTGACAGTCAGCAGTATGTAAATTCTAGGGGAAGTTCTCTATATTAAACCCTGCACTCGTCCTCCCGAGGTCCACAGCTGAAGAGAAGTGATCATGGAACTAGTGAGTGTTTATAAAAATGACAACCACGAGACTTGCAGCAAGTACAATGAGATGGGACTGGACAGAGATGGAGATACTTATGCAAACAAGGATCGGAAAATCAGCTACACTGAAGCAAGAGCTCGAAACCACAGTAAGAGTAAGTGTAGTGTGATGCAGAAGTCATATGCATATGTTCAGGAGTGCACTTTAAGATCTTTGTAATAGTGAACATATTCCTTAAAGTGGAAATGAAGCAGTCAGTCAAGTTTACATTATTTAGGAAAATAACTTACATTTTAATAAAAAAATATATAGCATTAATGTTATATATGATTAATGTAACCATTTTAAAGAAAAAAGGTTGTTTTGTCATAGCTTTTGGAGCAAGGGCGCCGCCATCTTTCAGTACCACCGCGTGTGACGTCACAGGGTTGGTTCGCTCCGTTGGCCAGTGAAGTAATACAAGCAATTCTTTACATTTGAACACACGTTTGTTTTGAAATGGAGGAAGACGAACTTGAAAGCACTGTTGAGTCCATAATAAATGTAATTGCCTATGCATTTGAGCCAATACGGCAATGGGACCGAGCAGTATTAGGGGTTGAAGAAGTCATGAACCTGCTGGTTTGGGGTAAAGTGCGGATCGGAAACAATACTCGTTTACGTGGAAACTCCTCAACACTGTCATTCTGGCGTGCTTTTGTGTGCATTTGCTGATGAAGGCGCGAAAGAAAGCTCAATTTGGTAGCCTACTCACGTGCTGTCCAAGCCCAGCTGTGGCTTTGTGTGTGTGTGTGGCACCGCCGGCGCGAACAGAAATGATCTATCACAATGTGTGAGTACCGCATTTAAATCTCTTTCAGAAAAGGTCTATCACAGCGTGTAAGTACCACATTGAAATCTATTTTGTGCTGTCTCACGCTTGAATGGCTTAAAACACTTTAATATTTAAACTGACAAGGCTTAAAACACATGAGAATGATCAACTTTATTGAGGAAGCAGCACTGGTCCGATTGTTCAGATAGGTGATTAGTTAAACACTATGTCCTGTTAACAGCAGGAAAGCTGTTTGTATTCAAGCTAATATTCGCAGGTGAACATAAAATATGATACTGGTGAACCAGTCAGTGTAATGCATATGTCTTAATGGTCTGACATAACAATAAATTGCGACATGAATGATATTGCATGAAGTGTTGTTTGTTTACATCACGTTGCGCCTCGCAGCTGAGAAAAGCCAGTTACAGGACAACTTCAGCTCTTTGAGTCAGAAGAAACTGGAGCTGGACTCCA